CGGGACGGGTCGAGGCAGACATACCCCACTCCCTGCCCCGAACCCGAAAAAAATACCCGATAACGACCCGAAACCCGACCTGATACCCGATAAGCTCGACCCGACCTGCCCCGAAATCTTCGGGGATCGGGTTTTCCCGTCGGGTTCGGGTTTTTTTACCATCCCTAGATGGATTGTCCAGCTCCCTGAACACCTACAATCATATAAGTAATTCTTACTTAGCTTATATTTCAAGTATTACTTAATAATACACCATAATATACTTCTTATTCACTTTTAGTAAAACATATTTCATTCGAATATTAGGGTGTGAATGACTCCAAACATATTCTTAGGTTTATACACATCAAACACACACATAACCCGAACCCAAGACTTACTTTTGGTTTTAAACACTCACGCCCAACCAAAATTGTAATGCATGGTGTGTGTGTGTGTTATGCTTTTAACATTGAGACTTGGCTAAATTCAGATTTCATGGACCAAAAGCATTCACAAAATAAAGCTCTTCCGTTGGAGAGTTTTCGGGACAAAACCAAGTATAAAGAGATGTTGTTTCTTGGTTCAAAGCATCAACACAAGACCAAATGAGTCAACGAAGTAATGTATTAGTCCTAGCAACCTTACACAAGGTCCAAAACAGTTCCAAGAGCTCGAAAACTATCAGGATTCGTTCAATACTTAAAAACTCGATAAACACACAAAAATGGAACTCCGAGAGCATTTCGAGATGGCTAATCTTTTTTCCAGAAGCACGACCTTGTTTCTAGGTGTCCAAGGGACCTAGAAACAACCTTAACCATGGCTATAACTTATCAAACTCGACAGAAAACATTTTAGAACAAAAAACCTGAGAATCGTGAGCACATGAAGATTTTAAGTGATTTGAGGTTGTTTTCTTGGTTCTGGTTGTCCATACTTGCTCTTAAGTGTTAAGGGGACTCGATAACATCACTAGCAAGAGATTAACAACCCTAAAGCTTTGATTAACTCGGCTGTAAACATTCCAGTACACAGAAAACCGCAAAAACGAGAACTTCAACGGTTTGAAGGCTTCCGGAGGCAGCTCCGGTCTCCACATCGCCGGAAAAGGGCTGGGAATCATGCTAGGGTCGAAGGAAAGCTGGTACGTGCCTCGGGGTGGCTGGAAATTCGAAGAAACGAACAACTCCTTTTATTTCTCTGAAAACCCTAGCTCGGAACCACCTCATTCTCTCTCGTTTTTCGTTCGGTATAGGGTTGAAAAGGGGAGAGGCTTGCTTCAAACGATCGAGACTTAAAGTATTTAGAGTTGGGAATCATTTTACTTCGAAAATAATCGATTATGCAGGCCTAAAAGAGGAAGACGACCAGCATGCGTTTGCTGAACAGGAAAGGAGACAACTTTTCAAAATGGCAGCTTCGGTCCCTGGGGTTTGGCATATTGTTCCCTATAAACTATCTTATAATTTAACGAATAATTAATTTAGCACTCTACCGAATTAAGGTCCCTCAAAAATATTATCTTAAAAAAAGTTGTTAAATAATCAAGTACTAATTTATCGAATTTCTGTTCTATGTAATTTTATTGTATTAAACAACGATGAAATAAAATGTATTAAGTTATAGAATCTCTTAGTTGAATAATGAAAAAACTACGATGAAATAAAATGTATTAAGTTATAGAATCTCTTAGTTTTATAATGAAAAAACTATCTCTGGTTTTTTATTTACAATTAAGCCCAAAAAACTGGTAAACATTAGTATTAATTGGGTTTAAGATCCATTTTGCTAACGTTTACCGGTATCTTAGGCTTAATTGTAAATAAAAATTCAAAGATGACTTTTTCATTAATAGAAACAAAGTTTAGGGATTTTTCTAAAGGTTTTTTATATAAAAATATATAATAAGCTTTATTATTTATTTTAGAATTGATAAAACCTTTTACTCTTGAGTTTTTATTTCGGTTAAAAAAACGGTTCTTTATGTGTACCTCGTTGGCTTAGCTAATTGGCTTTAGTACTCGAGCTGGGCCTAATTAGTTTGCAAGTTGTTAGGTATTCGAACATCAACACACAAGTACAATATGCAAAGAAAAACTAAAGACAAAAGAACTGTGTGGTTCACACGGTTAAGATACGAACTAAAGAGATTTATTATTGATACCGGAATGATTTACAGTTACATTAACTCATTAAGGCTCTATATATATAGCTAGATACGAACAAATAAAACTTAGACAATATGTGATACTAACATAATAGATATTTATATTCTTCTTCTTCACCATTTATGATGTTGGGGACCACTCTCATAAGCTAGTTATGTGCGTTGAGTCTTATATAACAAGTAGGGTGAATGGGACCCCGTTAAAATCGGTTCTCATCCTATGTTTTATACGAAGAAATTAATAAATATTCTTGGCATTAAAAACCACCCAAAATTTCGCTTTTTTTAATTATTATCTTTGGATTTTTTTTTTATATATGATGGATCCGTATTAAATTGAACTTATCATCACTCTTATGTCTTTAGGTAAAATCAAAAATTGAACAAGGCTCACAAAATAAAAAACCATAGTGAACAAGTTATGGTTCTTATGACATATTTCATTAGAATTTTGCTTAAAAAATGGATTCAAAAACTTGTTAAATCTAATCAATTGTTAGTCAATCATCCCATTTGTTTACCTCCCATTCTTGAAATCCTTCTAAAGCTTAATTACAAATTTCCCCTTATCATGAGGTAATCCAGATTCTCAAAAAGTTAAAAACTCTAACATTTAAACAAATAAACATAACAAAATTCCAAAACTTTGACTAACCTTTAATTAATTACTCCTCCTCCAACTTGACATCAGGGGTGTGAGTGTGACTAAAATCATATTCCATAAGTTTTTTAGGAATATCATTTGGGACGATTATTCCACCATTGTATCCATCTGTAAGCAACTTCCCAATCTTGGACCTCCACTCTGAGCTTTCACTCTCGTTTTTCCTATCATGAACAACTCTATCGCGATAATTTAACATCGTCCCCAAACCACTGTCTGCAATCCATCCGTATTCCATTAGCACACGCGCTTCACCTTCACTCAGATCCTTCCCAACCTACACCCATAAACATTCCTTTTAAAAATACCATTAACGAAAGTACGTTTGTTATTTTTTATTTTATTTTTGCATTTTATGTTTATTAAAAATTTCAAAGAGTGAGAGAGTTACCATTAATGGTCGATTCTCGATGAGAGTAATCCTGCTACAGCTAGTAAGCTTCATGGTTGTAACCAATCTTTTGATCTGCCAATTTACAGGTAACGTGTCTACTAATTCAAAGAAGTATGTTGCGTATCCGTATTCTGGGCGTTCAAGCACTATCCTACAAACCAAGTAAAATTATAATATTTCAGGCTTAGATGCAAGAAAATGGCAATTTCTTTCAATTTCTTTTACAGCTAATTACAAATATGCTATAATAAAAAAGTCAATGAAAGTACATTGATATTTCTTGCATTTAACCTGTTATGTCTTTCGAAAACGAAAATGAAAGACTGGAGGTCCCGGCACCAACCCCATTCAACTGGCCACTTTCGAACACGTAAATATCGTGCCTACAACATATATGACATCAAATTTCAAATATAATACTAATTAAAAAAACATTATGAAAATAAATAAAACTTTAATGAAAATCACCTGTTCCACAAGTGAAATAAGGCAAGCTAAACAATAACTAGCTTTTTCACCTTTACCACACCTTATTGGCCCAAACTTTAAAAATGACTGCCTTTGAGAGAAAAGCTGCGTGTAAACAAAGAAATAATTCAGTAAAAAGCTAATAATATAAGTTAGAGAAAGGGAATATGCCTAGGATATTCCTTTTATGGTTTAATAATGAATAATGGAAATTCTTGCAAACCTTTTCTATCACATCTTCAAGCTCTGAAAAACTCTCTTCAATATCCAATGCTTCATCATCCTCATTTTCTCCATAAAGTTTAATTTCATCCACTAGAACCCCTTTCTCAATTAACACCTAATAAATAAAACAAGAACCATGAACAACCAAAAATTTATATAAAAAAAAAATAAAAAAATTACTTTCAAATAGTTACCTGTAGGAGTCCTGGAGCATCTTCCTCTAATGCTTTCTCAATCGAATCCCTGAATTAATTACTCAAAATAAATATAAATGATAAATCCATTACTTTTCACATGTAATAGTTAAAAAAGTTATAAACAAAAAAAAAAAAACACTTGCGTGGCAGTTTTCCTTCTTTTGCGTGGCCTTTTCAGTAGGAAAGGTTTTGAAGACTCTGATGAAGTGGGCTTATCGTCATTGCCAAATGACGAAAATGCCCTTGGGTTCTCAAAAGTCTCAAAGAAACTAGTCTTGGAGAATTTTCTTGACGCTAGCAATCTCATTCTATCTCCAAGCATCATGTGATCTATTATATCTTGGAATATTTCAGCATTGTTTAAAGGCTCACTTTTTACAGGTATTTGGTTATGCAAACATGGGATAACTGGAACATCTTTTTTAGGACTTTGTAAATCATCATCTAAAAGTTCAACTTTAACATTTTTGTAGTTTTGTGAGTCAGTTATTTTAGCCTCACAAACACTTTCATTGTGTTTTTCAAGGATGTCATTCTCTCTTCTTATTGGAGATCTTATACCAAAAACATCACTTTCTCCACTTTTTATTTGAGCATTGGGCAAGATCATGTCAGCTGAACTTGTACATGGGTCTGAAAACTTATTCTGTAACATGAAAATTTAGCAACTGATATTAAAAAGATAAGTAAGGATCATTTTATTCGATAAATTAATGAGCTTATGCAATGTGTTTTGAAAAGACTTAGAGAGAAGTTGAGAGTTTTTATGTCTCAAAATAGAAAGATAGGGTGAATGTAACACTATGAAATAGTGAACTAAATTACACCATCTAATAAGCAACAAAAACAGAAAGAGATCTAAAGTTTGAATCATAGGACATTAGATGTTGTGTAGAAAACAAAAATTACCTCCATGGATGTCCCAGTGGACCCCACCAGTTCCCTGCAAATTAGGTATAAAATTATAAGAACAATAAAAAGGCAGGTGGATGACATCAGCAATGAAGAAAAATGGCTACATGAATACACCTAATGTTGGCATGGAAATCAACCCCTAAGTTACTTTCTCATATACAATAATGAACATGCATAGGTACTACTAAAGGAATAAAATCACATATGAAAAGAAAGGAAACCATAAAAATAGAGGAAGACCTTGATAGCAGCATCCTCTGTCTTTCCTTCAGCACAACATGATCAAGATCCTCAAGGAACTCTTCAGAATTATCAATATCCTCATTATACTCTATTTCTAGTCTTTCTGAAAGCATTTTGTCTTGAAGAGAACTCCCAACACTGTGAATTGTGCCTGTTAGATGATATCAGTATTTAACTAGAGTAAATACTCGATTATAGTAAAATATATATACATGCCAATTATAGCACTCTACATTCATAAATGGGAAAATACAGGAAAAGACTTGGGAGTAACTTCATGTAAAGATTTACCATGTTGGATGTGTTCAAATGAGGCATCATCAGACCTTCTTTCACTCCCATCATGATCAGAATGAAAACCCTGTATGTCAACTTATCAAAATTAATAATGGTGACATGTACATGAAAGCATCAATTACCTTGTCAATTATCATATAAGAAACTAGAATATGAAAAGAAACGGGTTATTGTTCGATAGATATTATATAAAATGATAGGTTATCTATGCATAATAATGTTCAGATACGGTTTTATTGATAAGCTAAAACACAAAGAAGTGAAAATGGTAGCAAACTCAAGACTATATGCACTGCAATTCTGTACATACCAGCAATAGCAATATAACTAGAAAAAGAATTTACTGAGAAGTGCAGAAGAACCTCAAGGAGCATCCATGATTAATGAATAATCAGATTGACAGCAGTAAGATATTACAAAGTCTTGCCATCAACCTTTTGATGTTAAAAAGGGTTCAATCCTAACAATAGTGTAGCAAAAAGCCAAAATGTTGTAAGTCTAACTTAATATCTATATCTGTGAACACCAAGAGTTGCCATGTTATATCCAATTTCCCTTGATATCTTTGCTGTGAGATTTCTAAAAAAAATCTGAAGAGGAAGGCAATAGCAATTCCTCCTCCTGGAAACTTTGTGAAGTTCATAATGGTATTGTAAAACTACTTCATTAAACAATTGACAATGACTGCACTGAAAGCATTGATTATTGCTGAAAGCCTAAGTACAACAATAAACTCTAATGGACCTTAACAATTATCAGATTTCTTTCAACGCAAACTAAACTTACCAGTGAGTCACAGAGATCATCTTCCTTCTTGAGAGAATCATCAACTGGAGATCTGACTCGATAACAACAAACAGTCGATAATAATCCCTAAGAACAAAAAAATCTGGACAAATAAAAGTACGAGCAACTCCAAACCAAAAGGCTTACCTAGCTGGTATCAAGATTTCCTTTTGGCTTCTCGACACAACCGTAGCGCGTAGCATTTTCAACCGTTGCTTCAATGGAACACAATCGTGCTCTTCTGACCATGCGGTTTCTACGGGTAGTTCATCCTCAGATTTCACTTGTTCGTGATTCAGCCCACTAGCAGGACAATTAGCCGTCATTCCTATAGCAATGTTTTAAATTTGATAATATTAGGGTTAGAAATCGACACAGGCGCAGAAGATATAGACTAGAGAGACGCGAGAAGGAGGTCACCTTGGAAATAGTCTCGCCAGATAAAATATATGGTCTGTCTACTCGCAAGGAGCGAGAAGTGTGTGTGGGTGTGGGTGTAGTGGTGGTAGGAATCTGTTCACGTCGCTGGTGTCATGGGGAGAGTGAGAACGCACGCAGATACAGAGGCGGAGGGGATGATGGGAGAGGTGGGCGGTAAACGGGAGCGAACACAAGGGGATCAAAACTCGGGGAGGGGATTAGTTTGTTCCAAAAATATTGGAGCAAAGGTTTTGTTAGAGGATTAGTTATGGGTCCAAGTTGGATTAGTTATGGGTCCAAGTTATTTGACTCCGATTCATATGTCACCTCAATCGTAACACCACCGTAACACTAATAGGGAAATGGTGTTCCTAATGTTAAAACTGTTGGATTAGGTGTCTAAGCCCATAACTATAATTGGTATGTACTTAAATTGATAGCAGCACAGTCCTTTTG